TGTGAATGTAAGTGTTTGGGTGTTTCCTTGTACTGGGTTACAGGTGGAAGGGCATCCACTGCGTAAAACATGTTGGAATAGTTGGCGGTTCATTCCGCTGTGGTGATGAATAGACTAAGCCGAAGGAAAATGAATGAATGTTGTAATCTGAATCGATTTTACTCCAGTAAGTAACACAGTCATGTATTAGAAATCCTTCTGTTGGAGTTATTTGTGATGTTTATATAATGTTATACTTTATTTGTTTATTGGCTGTATGATTATTGAGTAATTAAGATGAATAATATTATGCTGTATTATTCTGTGTCATGGATCGAGTGGTTTGGTGATATGGATTATCTCCACCTACAGTTCACGTCAGTTCACCTGCTTGCGTAAGGGCACACAGGTGATGGGTGATCAGTGGTAGGAGTGGCAGGGTTTTAACTTGTTTGTGTTTTGTTCAAGCCACTTAAAGCATTGGTCACCAAACTTGTTCCTGGAGGGCCGGTGTCCTGCAGATTTTAGCTCCAACCCTAATCAAACACACCTGAACAAACTAATCAAGGTCTTACTAGGTATACTTGAAACATCCAGGCTGGTGTTTTGAGGCAAGTTGGAGCTAAACCCTGCAGGGACACCGGCCCTCCAGGACCGAGATTGGTGACCCCTGACTTAAAGAATCACAAAACACCAAAACACTTTTTTTTTGAGCTGTTGACAGTCGTATATGTGTCCCACGCTGCCTAAAACACTATTAGGACACATATATTTCACTAACAAGTGAAAATTGGTTGTTTTTTATTTATTTCCAGCAAATTCGTTCTTCCGGTTTGAAACTAAACTGGTTTTTTAAACTGCGTCACGTCGATTAGATCCTTGTGTGTATTCCAGTGTTAAGACTGCATGTCTGTACCTGCAAGTACTTCGTGATGTCTCTGAGTGTGCTGCATTCATTCATGAGAAAAAATTGGTTCAAACCAATCAGCATGCTCTATTGTGTATGCGGTGCAACTTCATTAATATGCATGACAGCTTCGATGACTGTTAACCAGTTACAGTGTTTAGACGGCAGAGAGACGCCACGTTGTGTTGCCAAAACAAATGGAAGAGCAAGAATTTGGAGGTCGTCAGTGTTGCGTTTATATATTTGCTGCAGTGAAGGTTTTGCTTTCATTTCCCCGCTATGAGAGCGCAGCGTGGACTACAGTGCACGCGACAGAAATACGTTTGTATAGACAATTTTTACCTGTAATCTGTATTTGCCGCTCGTCTCCTTTTAAAAAAGACGCGGCTCCAGTTGGTGTTGATTGTCCTGTCTCTACAGATTTTGTGAGCGACCAGTGTTCTTTGTTTTTTTATTCGGAGGCAACGTTAGTTTGTGTCGTCAGTAGTACTCTTTCAGTTTTTAAAGACAGACCTCAGTCAAAATGATTGAGTTACTGAGTTTACAGTACGTTAATATCACTACAATATTATGAGCTGAAAGATCCGCTGTAAATGCTGCTCTCCGAATGTAAACACCTTAAACTATTAGCGTTGTGTAGGATTTTTGACGCATTTTGTGACAGGATAGTCTACACACACGACTTTCTGATGCTACCTACTGAGTGCATTTAGGTTACCGAGGTTTTTTTTCTTCCATTTGCCGTCCGGTATTAAACACTCCATTAAAACTACACACTTCCAGCAGTTCCTCACATCCAATATCTCGTTTGTCACGGGGGGCATGCAGGAAATGTTCCTGAATGAAAGTGAAAGTGCCAAACTGCAGTTATAGTCGACGCAATAATAATTTGGCAAATTATTTGATATTACTGATGTCCATGTAAACACAGTCAGTCTTTCCCCTTTGCGTCTGTGTTTGTTTCGCCTCAGTGAAAATCAGCGTGTGCCAAACTGAAACTCCCATTTTTATGCAAAATCTTCCCTCTTTCCCTCAACCGACACTCCCACCTAAACGGAGCTGGACACACACACTTTCCTGACTTTTTTCCAAAACTAGGTGTGGAAACACCCTGCTGAGACAAGGGGGGGTTTCGTGGCCCTTTAAATTTGTAAAAACAATTAAGACAACTAAATTAAATTGATTTGGGACAACATAAAAGACTTGTATGGAAGCCAGCATTTTAAATAAAAAAAATTCAGGGTTTCACACAATTCCTTCATGTTGTCCCAACACAAACTGATTCATTTAACATACTGTAATTGTTTTTACAAATTTAAGTTGATTAAGTATTAAACAATTAGGATGTTCCCTGAAAAAACTTAAGCATTCAGTTGTTTCAGCTCATTATAAACAAGTAGTTTGAGCAAGCAGCAAAAGTCATCTTTTTTTTTTGAGTGCAGTGTCCAGATGGCGCATGTTGGTACTGGCTTGTAGCCTCACAAAACAAACCAAGCAGAACATCTACAGGACTTTAAACCTGCCAACCACTTCCTCCCAATAACCATTAATGAAGCTACCGTTCGGGACGATCAAGAAAACCGAGCAAACCTCCAAACACATGTAGAGCAGATTTCATGGCGAGCATTAATAGTGCGGAGGGGAAAAAAGGGGGTAGAAGAGATACCTCGCTCTGCAGGAAACAGGACGGTGCCAAACAGACCAGATTTTGAGTCCAAACCACAGAGTCGAGTGGCATTTCTCCCCTCCGGTGTGATAGTTCTACCTGCCGTTTCGGCCTGACCACAGAATCTACAGGCCAAACCAGACTCCATGGAAGAGTCATCATCACGGCCTGCAGAATGTGCTTGACTGAACACTTTCAAGCGGTTTGCGCTACAGGCTATGAAATCTGCACAATAAGTAGAGCCTTTGTGAGGTGGAGTACATGCTGGTAAATCCAGGTTTATACGGCCCTTTTTACAAGACCACGTTTAACGGTCATCAGCATCTTAAATCCTTGAAAGTTTAGAATATTTTCATTTGAATATTTTCATACAGCTGAAGTCAGAATTATTAGCCCCCCTGTATATCCATTCATTTTCTTCTTTTTTTCGGCTTAGTCCCTTTATTAATCTGGGGTCTCTACAGCAGAATGAACCACCAACTTATCCAGCATATGTTTTACGCAGCGTATACTCTTCCAGCTGTAACCTATCACTGGGAAACATCCATACACACACATACACTATGGACAATTTAGCCTACCAATTCACCTGTACCGCATGTCTTTGGACTGTGGGGGAAACCGGAGCACCCGGAGGAAACCCATGCGAACACGGGAGAACATGCAAACTCCACAGAAACTGAACCAGCGACCTTCTTGCTGCGAGGCAAACGTGCTACCCACTGCGTCACCGTGCAGCACCCTGTATATTTCTTCCTCAATTTTTCTACTGAGTGAAGCCTGCAGCCACTGCTCTTTTGAGTCACTGTGAATGTTAAAAATGGCTAAATTTGTTGCTAGGTGCTTTTTGAAAAAAAAAAAAAGTTGATAGGGTATTATGAAAAGTTGTTAAATCTTGTTGGCAACACTGCTCAAAAGTGACTTTTCCTATGTTAAAAGGGTAGTTCATCCAAAGATTAAAAATCTGTCATCGTTTAATCACCCTGCAACTGTTTACGCCAGGCGTGTCCAAACTACGGCCCGCGGGCCATCTGCGGCCCGCAATCAGTTTTGTGGTGGCCCGCGAGGCTTTTTATAAATAGTAATAGAATCTGGCCCGCTATACAAAAATGAACGTAATTCAATAAATAACCACCGGGTGTCGCTATTACATGCATTCAATTAAGCAGTAGTTCTTGTTATGATCTATCTATATCTATCTATCTATCTATCTATCTATCTATCTATCTATCTATCTATCTATCTGTCTGTCTGTCTGTCTGTCTGTCTGTCTGTCTGTCTGTCTGTCTGTCTGTCTACACACAGTTGAAGTCTGAATTATTAGCCCCTCTTTGATTTGTTTCTTCTTTTTTAAATATTTCCCAAATGATGTTTAACAGAGCAAGGACATTTTTACAGTATGTCTGATAATATTTTTTCTTTTGGACAAAAGACTTTTGTTTTATTTCGACTAGAATAAAAAGCGGTTTAAATTTTTTTATGAACCATTTTAAGGTCAAAATTATTAGCCCCTTAAGTCTTCAGAACAAACCATTGTTATAAAATAACTTGCCTAATTACTTTAACTTGACTAGTTAACTTTATTAACCTAGTTAAGCCTTTAAATGTCACTTTAAGCTGTTTAAAAGTGTCTTAAAAATATCTAGTCAAATATTATTTACTGTCATCATGGCAAAGATAAAATAAATCAGTCATTAGAAATGAGTTACTAAAACTAATATGTTTAGAAATGTGTGGAAAAAATCTTCTCTCCGTAAAACAGAAATTGGGGTCAAAATAAATGGGGGCTAATAATTTAGGGGGGCTAACAATTCTGACTTCAATTGTATATATATATATATATGCGTGTCTGTGTGATGTATGTAAAATTTGGCCCGCGACAACTTTGTTTGTTTTTTTGCATCTGGCCCTCGGCCCAAAAAGTTTGGACACCCCTGGTTTACGCCATTTATTTTTTGGAAAATTACCATTCATTCAATTTCCTTCAGCTTAGTCCTTTATTTATCTGTGATCGCCACAGCGGAATGAACCGCCAACTTACCCAGTATATGTTTTATGCAGCAGATGGCCCCCCCCAGCTGCAACCCAATACAGGGAAACACCTATACACACTTATTCACCCACTACGGCCAATTTAGTTAATCCAATTCCCCTATAATATGTTTGGACTGTGGGGGAAACCACGCCACGCCATGACAACACGGGGAGAACATGCAATCTCCACACAGAAATGCCAACTGGCCCAGCCGAGGCTCGAACCAGCGACCTTCTTGCTGTGAGGCGACAGTGCTACAACTAAGCCACCGTGACCCCTGGACAATGATAAAAAATCTGATTTTGAGCAGTATATGCTAATGGTCTATTCCAATTCAATGCTCTACGCTAGGCTAAAGGAGCTCCCGCCAGACCCGGAGACTAGCTGAATGGATAAAACACAGGCAATTTCTGTTGGTCTGGTTCTACCTTCATTTATTTTGTATGACATCAGATTATGTGCAGCGATTTCCCGAACTCCAAACAGACATACGTCATGTTGACAGCCAACCGAAATCAAAAATATAAATAATATCTATTTTTTGAAGCTTTTGATTGGCCAACGTGACTTTACGGTTAGGAGTATAGCGCCATCTGTTGCTTTGGCATGACCTTGACAGCACTTCATGGGGCCTTTTTGCATTTTCATGTGGACATTTTGTTTTAAACCATGCAAGTGTGACTGAGACTTTTTTTTAAATGGATCAAAAGCTCCATGAAGGTGGCACGGTGGTTCAGTGGTTAGCACTGACACCTCACAGCAAAAAAGTCACTGGATCGAGTCCCGGCTGGGCCATTTGGCATTTCTCTGTGGAGTTTGCATGTTCCCCCCATGTTGGCGTGGGTTTCCTCCGGGTGCTTCGGTTTTCCCCACAGTCCAAACACATGCACACTAAACAGCCCATAGTGTATGAGTGTGTGTGAATGAGAGTGTATGGGTGTTTCCCAGTTATAGGTTGCGGCTGGAAGGTCGCCACAGCGGAATGATGGGTTTTACACAGTGGATGACATTCCAGCCACAAAAAAGTACTGGGAAACACCCATACACACTCTCACATTCACACACACACACTCATACACTATGGCCAATTTAGCTCATCAGTTCCCCTATAGCACATGTGTTTGGACTGTGGGAGAAACCAGAGCACCCGGAGAACACCCACGCCAACTTTGGGAGAACATGCAAACACAGAAATGCCAACTGACCCAGACGGGACATGAACCAGTGACCTTCTGTCAGTGAGGCGACAGTGCTGACCACTGAGCCACCGTGCCACCCATTTAAGATTATATTCAATGCATTCATATTACATGACAACATGTTAATGCTGGTTACTGTGTGTAAGTGATGAGGAAGCCGTGGTCATTGTCCAGAATTAAGGACTCTTTAAATGGAAAGCTTATTCAGGATCCAGGAGCGAAGCAACTCCAGTTCTTGTCGACACAACTGATGGTTGAGGTCTGGGAAGGAATGGAAAGATGCATTGAGTCCAGCTTTTTTCAGCAGCGTGTTCGTCTTCTCGCCCCAGTCATGGAAAACCAGCTCGTCTGATGTGCCGTGACACTGCAGGAGCTCAGGTAGGGGGCGCTGTGCATTTTCTACTGCCTGTGCAGAACACAATAAAGATTCTTTTCCCTTAGTTTGACATTATGATACCAAAAATAAGTCAGAATTATTAGCTCCCCGGTATATTTTTTCCCACAATTTTTGTTTAACGGAAAGAAGATTTCTTCAACACATTTCTGAAGATAATAGTTTTAATAACTCATTTCTAATAACTGATTTATTTTATCTTTGTCATGATGACAGTAAATAATATTTGGCTAGAAATTTTTCAAGACACTTCTATACAGCTTAAAGGGTCAAGAAACACTAAAACACATGTTTTGAGCTGTTGACAGTCGTATATGTGTCCCACACTGCTAAAAACACTATTAGGACACCTATATTTCACTAAAAAGTGTAAATTGGTTGTTTTTGCGTTATTTCAAGCAAATTCGTACTTCCTGTTTGAAACAAATTTTTGAAGCTGCGTCACGGTCATGAGATCATAATAGCGTGTATTCCAGCGTGCAGACTGGACGTCTGTGCCAGAGTGTGTCTTATTACGTCTTACAGTTTGCTGCATTAATGCATGAGTAAAGCTTGGTTCAAACCAATCAGCGCGCTCTATTGTGCAACTTCATTAATATGCATTTCTGTCACAGTGTTTAGATGGCAGAGACGCCACGTTGTGTTGGCAAAACAAGCGTGAAGTGTTGCTTTTACAGTTTGCTGCAGTTAAGTTTTGTTTTCATTTTCTCTCTGTGAGAGCTCAGAGTCACGTGTGGATTAACAGTGTACGCGACGCTCGACAACAATAACTTACGTGTCTAAGGAGGATTATTGTTTACCTGAGAGATGTTCTCATCTGCAAACGCTGATATCCTGATTCGCTTGTAGTCTTCTCTTAATAAAGACTCGGCTCTAGTTGCTGGTGATTGTCCTGTCTCTACAGATTTGGTAAGTGAGCGACCAGTGCTCTTTGTTTATTCAGTTTGTTCGTATTGAACTAACTATTGCACCGAGTGTAAACATGTTAGCACCACAACCAAACTTTACCCTCGTGTAGGATTTTCACCGCATTTAGTGACCGGAATAACACACACGGCTTTCTGACACTACCTGCCGTGTGCATCTAAGTTTCTGGGAAATGCTGAGGTTTTTTTCTCTCATTCGCCGTGCGGTATCAAACATTGCAAGAAAAATACACGCTTAGAGCAGTTCCTTGAATCAAATATCTCGTTTGTCGCGAGGGGCATGAATGAATTCCCTAAATGAAAGAGCCAAACTGCAGTTAAAGTCCACCATTTAATAATCTGGCAAATAATTCGACTACAGATGTCCATGTAAACACAGTAACTTTCTCCCCTGTGTGTGTGTGTGTGTGTGTTTAGACTCTGAAACTCAGCGCGTGCCCAAAAAGACACTCCCACACCATCCCTCTTTTGTTCCTCTGACACTCCCCACTAAACAGAGCTGGACACGCCCACTTTTCAGACTTTTTCCAAAGTAGATTTGTGAAAACACCCTGCTGAAACTAGTGAGTTAAGCAGGATTGGGTAATTAGGCAAGTTATTGTATAACAGTGGTTTGTTCTGTAGAAGATTAAAAAAATATTGCTTAAAAAGGCTAATAATATTGGCATTAAAAAGGTTTTAAAATAATTTAAATCAGCTTTTATTCTAGCAAAAATAAAACAAATATTATAGGAAATACTGTGAAAAAATTCCTGAATTTGACTGTACATGCTGAAGGGTATTATCTACCTGATATACCGCTGAGTCTTTGTTAAGGAAGCTGGACAGACAGAAGATGCCAGCAATGTCCTGATGGTGCCTGCAGACCAGATGAAGCGCCATGGCTCCACCCATGGAGAAACCACCTGTGTTAAAGAGATCTACATTTAGTCATTCAGCAGACGCTTCTGTCCAAAGCGACTTTCAATTGAGAAGGCATTCAGCGATTCAACAAGAAGAGGCAACACACACAACAAGTGCTGAATTTACGATTGGGATATGATTAGGAGCTGTTAGTGCTCAGAGAATGTAGTACTAGATTAAGGAGGGGGATTTGGGTTTCTACAGGTGGTTTGTAAAATGTGAGCATGAAAGGAACATTCAAAAAGCAGCTCATGCAAACACCATCATATTACCGTCTTATTCAGATTAAAGCCAATAATTGGATTACTGATGTCCATGTAAATATAGTCACTGACTCTCTTCCCTGCTTCTGTGTTTGTGTTGCTGGTGTGCAAATCAGGGGGTGTTTAAACTATTTTTAATCTGGTTTCAAACCACATCACAGTACAGAGAGCGCTCTTGTAAAGATAATCAATGATATCCACCTAAATACAGATTCAGGCAGGAATTCAATAGTCATGTCAAAGCAGTAACTACATTAGCATACTATCATCTCAAAAACATTGCAAGAATCACATGCTTTGTTTCAAGTGAGGACTTAGAGAAACGTTATCATGCTTTTAGCAGCAGCAGGGTGGATTACTGTAATGGACTCCTCACTGGCCCTCCCAAAAACAAGCAGTCAGACAGTTGCAGCTTATCCAGAACAATGCGGCCAGGATTCTGACCAGAACCAGAATATCAGAGCACATCACAGCTGTCCTCAGGTCTCTACACCGGCTCCCAGTTACATTCAGAATAGATTTTAGAGTATTATTACTGGTCTATAAATCACTAAATGGCCTAGGAGCTCAATACATTACAGATATGCTCACTGAAAACAGATCACTCAGATCTTTAGGATCATATAAAATAGAAATTCCAAAATTTCAGTCAAAGCAGGATGAATCTGCCTTCAGCTACTAACAACGCCCCCTGAATGAATCAGCTTCCAGAAATGATCAGATGTGCTCCAACATTAGGTACATTCAAATGGAGACTGAACACACATCTGTTTAGCTGTGCCTTTACTGAATGAGCACTGTGCTGCGTCCGACAGATCGCACTTTTGTGTCTTTCCTTTCTTTTTAACGCATTTCTTATCTGTTTTTAATCATTTTTATTATTTGTTTTTTATTCTCTTATACTTGTCTTTTTTATGTAAAGCACTTTGAATTGCCACTGTGTATCAAATGTGCAATATAAATAAACTTGCCTTGCCTTAAAAATATCCGTAAACAAGCAGATCTTTGTATTTTGGGATTCTTGTTTTAATTGTTTTATTTCCCCTTTTATAAATGCCTTTCAATTGCATTATAGGACCTTGATCTTTCTTTTAACCTTTCAAAAAAGTGACTTTTTAATATAATAATATTATATAAATATTATATAATATTATACAAATTATAAAAATATTATATAAAAAATGCACATTTTAATTTAATAATAATTTGTAATAGTTTGCAGTGCTATATTGTCCGAGTCAGTCTTGTATATTGCGCTACAAAAACCTTGTAATAAACTGCCAGAACATTTTAAAGACTCTAGATGTCTCTATATGTTATTCATTCATTCATTCATTTTCTTGTCGGCTTAGTCCCTTTATTAATCTGGGGTCGCCACAGCAGAATGAACCGCCAACTTATCCAGCACACTTTTACACAGCGGATTCCAACCCAATTCACCTGTACCGCATGTCTTTGGACTGTGGGGGAAACCGGAGCACCCGGAGAAAACCCACGCGAACGCAGGGAGAACATGCAAACTCCACACAGAAACGCCAACTGAGCCGAGGCTCGAACCAGCGACCTTCTTGCTGTGAGGCGACAGCACTATGTTATTTATTATACATTGATATTTCAAACTACTAAAATGTCAATAAAAGTCACTTTGTTAAACTGTAGTGTTGAATTTTCAACATCAGATGTCGACAGAGCAGAGATCAACATCCCATAATGCAATTCACAACCGTAAATAAAAGGAAACACAAAATACGGGAACTGTTAATGCACAGATACTTTCGACAATGCAGGCTAAAAACATTTCTGAGCACGCATGTTTGACTTTGGCTTCTCCTGTTGACTATACGACACCTAAAAGAATGAAAAGCGCAATCTATATATGAAGGAGTTTTCCATGGAAAGTTCTGGCGCTTGTCAGTCCGTCAGCCTGGGAAGTGGACTCAGCGTTCAGACCACTGCGTTTCTCCAGCGTGTAGAGTGACTCCAATGAGTATTTATAGTTAATGACAAAATGTTATGATTTAGGAAGATAATATTTCAGCAGTCTCACAGGAACATGTGTTTTTTGAATCAGTTTCTTTGGAAGCGAGTTCAGGGGCTTTTCTGTCCTTCCACACAGAGTCTTTTCACACAAAAACGCTTCTTTTTCTTTCTTCTTGCACTTTTCACATTTTACTTGCAACTATTTCGGGGTATTTCTGTGATATTGGTTTCGTTGGTTAACCCTTCCACAACCCTTCTTGGATTTAAAGGGATAGTTTACCCAAAAATGAAACTTACACCATCATTTACTCACGTCAATTTCTTTTAGAGTGATCGAACAGATCTCACCACCTATTTACTGCCATAATACAAAAAAACAAAGTCTTATGCTGTGTCCACACCAGACGCGGAACGCGCGGATAAATTGCGCTATTCGCGCGTAAATAGCCGCGTGAACATTTGAGTTTACTCGCTTCATTGGCGTGTCAAATTCACTTCAGAACAGACGCGGATTCGCGTGATGGGCAGGGCTTCTGTCTGCCCGAAGACTCTAGCTTCATAGCTAAATGGCTAACATGGATTTCATGAAGAAAATAACAGTGTTTATCTGCGTTATGAAGACTGAAAAACAGCGTTGATACATTTAGGGTCGTGTCTGAGTCCACTACATGCTTTCAGAGGTGCATCCAGCTCTGTGAGCTCATAAACTCCTCCAGAAACTGAACCTGGATGACGGAGGTTTTCAGCGGTGCTTCTGACTGAGCCCAGCCCAGTTTGATGACTTATTGTCGGTGAAGGCTGGAGGATTTCCCTCGGAACACCGACAACAGGTTCTACGTCACAATCGCGCCCCCACAAGAGCAAGCTTCTGATTAGTTAACGCGGCGCGAATGTCCACTGAAGTTCAGATTTTCGAATTCGAGAGAAAACGCTCAATTCGCGCCGCGCCATTCGCGCAATTTACATCATTCGCGCCGTGCCATTCGTGCATATCGCGTCGCAGGATGTCTATTCGTGGGTTTGCATTGACTTAACATGTAAATCACTCGCTCGCTTGGTGTGAACGCAGCATAATAATACTAAAATCTTCATCTGTGTTCAGCAGAAAGACATCTACACGTGATTGGAACCTGAGGGTGAGTAAATGATGGTAGAATTTTGTGGTGAACTATCCCTCACCGTCCAACCAGCGAGATGCTTAGGCTTACTTCACTAAATTGCAATTAAATCCTAAACCCATTATGACAAACTATATATTGTTGGAGGCAGCACAGTGGCTCAGTGGTTAGCACTGTTGCCTCACAGCAAGAAGATCGCTGGTGTGAGTCCCGGCTGTGTGGAGTTTGCATGTTCTACCCTGTGTTGGTCCATCACAGTCCAAACATGTGCTATAGGGGAATTGAATAACTAAATTGGCCGTAGTGCAATTGATTTGAGAGGTTTAGTAAAGGCCAGAGGTGGGAGTAAGTCACACATGTGCAAGCCACAAGCAAGTCTCGAGTCATAACCTTCAAGTCTCAAGCCAGTCAAGTCAATTTTTGTCAGACTCAAGTCAAGTCAGACAATAGCTTGGTCACTTTCAAGTCAAAATTATTGTTGATTTTTGAACTTTTGCAATATTTTTTGCAATTAATATTTACATATATAACTTTCAGTTTTGTATGTTATGCATACTACGGAGACCCGGCAGGGATGTAGTGGAGGAGAAAAAAATTGGATGGGTAAAAAAAATATAATGGGTAGTAGAAAAGAAAATGGGTGAAAGAAAAAAATGGGTGGGAGGAAAATATATATTTTTTTTAAGTTTTTACGTTTTCTCGCAATGTTTTGCGTTATCTCGCAAAGATGTTTTGCGTTCCCTCTGTTTCTCCACAAACACTTCCTGTTCACTGCACTCATGTAAACCCTCTGGTTTTTGCCGAAATTCTCCCGTATTTTACCATTCTATCCCACTTTCTTTACATTAAATCTGTACGTCGATCGTCGCCTTTCATATGCAACCTCTGAACCAGCGAGTGCATGTATAAGCGCTGACTAACAGACGCATGTACAGAAGCTGATCTGGGATCAGTTTATTGTACGGAGCGCGTCTGTCAATCAGTGCTTACATGCATTCACTGGTTCAGAGCATATGAAAGGCGACAGTTGACGCACAGCTTTAATGTAAATAAAGCGAATGCAGACATTTTATTATTAATTTCAGTGTGCTTTCAAGATTAAAATATACAGAAATATGGGAAAATACTTAATGATAGAATGATAGTGGGATAGAATGGCAAAATACGGGAGAATTTCAGCAAGAACGGGAGGGTTTACATGAATGTAGAAAACAGGAAGTGTTAATGGAGAAACATCTTTGCAAGGGAACGCAAATAAAAACTTGAAAATATGTTCTCCTATCACTCCTATCATTTTTTCTCCCACCAATTTTTCCTCCACCTATTTGTTTTCCCCACCATCATGTCCCTTACGGGTCTCCGTAGCATACTATATAACAAAGAGGTATTTATTTAACAGAAACAAGTTATTTCGAGTCATTTAGCTCAAGTCCAAGTCAAGTCTCAAGTCATGACAGCCAAGTGCAAGTCTAGTCGAGTCTTTTTTGAATAGTTGTCAAGGAAGTCTCAAGTCCTAAATTTTACAACTTAAGTCTGACTTGAGTCAAGTCATGTGACTCGAGTCCCCCATCTCTGGTAAAGGCAATACTGGAAATAAATATTTAGCAAATGTGTGTATATTTTAAACAAACTGAATATATTTTTTTTGCACTACTTGTTTTTATTTGCAGTTCTTTATTTTTGTTTGCAAATTTTTATTTTAATTTCTCAAAACTCAGTTTTCCCTTTGTGACACAGCAGAGGCGGAGATTAAGGCACACTCTGACAGGCACGTGGTAACGGTGGGCAGGGAGAACTAGCATTAAAGGCACAGGCAATAAAAACAGCAACAGTGTGTTCAGAAAAAATTCCAACATTTTTAAAGGCATAATAAATAATCTGAAGGGTGTTTTGAGCTGAAACTTCACAGACATATTCTGGAGACACACAAGACTGACCTTCAATCATGAAAAAGGGGTAAAATAGGTGCGCTTTAAGATATTTGAAGACTTTTTAAGACCACACGGACATGAGTTTCATGAGTTTCTTTCTTCTGTTGAACACAGAAGACGATATTCTAAAGAAAGCCCGAAACCACTGACATCCATAGCAAGAAAAAACAAATACTGTGGAAGTCAATGGTTCCCAGTTTCCAACCACTTTCAAAATAACTTCTTGTTTAATTAAAGTAAGAAACTCAAACGCTTGAAAAAAGTAAAAGGTGAGCAAGTCCCTAAACCAGGGATGGGCAAACTTGATCCTCGAGGGCCGGTGTCCCGGCAGAGTTTTGTTCCAACACTAGTCAAACACACCTAAACAAACTAATCAGTGTCTTCAAGATCACTAGAAACCTATAAGCAGGTGTGTTTGATTAGAGTTGGAGCTAAACTTCCTTAATCAGCTTCCAGAAATGATCAGATGTGCTCCAACATTAGGCACATTCAAATCAAGACTGAAAACACATCCGTTTAGCTTTGCCTTTACTGAATGAGCACTGTGCTGCGTCCGACAAATTCAAATTCAAAAAATCATGTTTTTCTCTTCTTCATTCTTTTATATCACATTTTACCTGTTTTTATGTTTTGTTTTGACGATTATTTGTTTTTATTTTAATTTTACTTGTTTCTTTTATTATTGTTTATGTAAAGCACTTTGAATTGCCACTGTGTATGAAATGTGCTATATAAATAAACTTGCCTTGCCTTGCCTTGCCTAAACTGTGCAGGACACCGGCCCTCCAGGATCGAGTTTGCCCACCCCTGCCCTAAACTATCCCTTTAAGGAGTTAAATCTCTAAGCAAATAGTAGCATGCTTTTTTTTTTGCAACCCATTACCTGAGATCCCTTCTAAAAGGGATGATTTTCTGCCACTTTTATCTAATATGCAAACCTGATAACCCAAATATTTGGAGATAAAACTTAGCAGAAACCCGAGAGTCATCCCGAAATTCTTTTGGGCTCAATCTGGCAACAAATGAAAGGAATAAGTAACTTGATAAGTTTCATTCTTCACTTTACACAACGAGGGAGAGACTTATAGACTCTGCTTAATTTGGAACAAGTGGAGCGTGTGTGTGTGTGTGTGTGTGTGTGTGTATAAAAGAAAGCAATCGGGCAGGGAGAGATGGATGGGTATAGGGAGGTCTGGAGAGGATAGGACAGAGATAAGCCAATGGTCTTACCAATAACCATCCTGTGTTTTGGGATCCCGGCTCGGAGCTCATCCTGCACAATGTCACCTAAATGATCACACATGGAATCTATCGACTCCAAGTGCTCGGGGCAATGCTGAGAAATCTTGTGACGATCAAACCACACATGAGACGGCGCCCCTCGCATGGGTGTGTACGGCCTGAAGACACAAGCAAATTCCTCATAATTCACCACGTTCTTGTAGTACCTGTCATACCCATGTCATTATATACACGTCTGTCCTGATGTCACTAAACACACATAAACACACACATTAGCAATTCACCACCTTCTGGTAATACCTGTGTCATACCTATGCAATTATATAGGTTTGTGTCCTGATATGTCATAAAAACACGTACACACATCAGCAATGTCCTCATAATTCACCACCTTTCTGTAATACCAGTGTTATACCTTTGTCAATATATATAGGTTTGAGTCCTGATACGTCACAAAAACAGGTACAGACACACATACAATCTCTCACTAAAGTGATGAAATCAAGTATATTATTTCCATCACAACTGTTTTTAAATACATGCTTTGATAAAGTATTGCAAAAACAGCACAATTACATTTTCAAGCACTTTTAAAACCTCGAAGTTCAACCATTTTCAAGCACGAACGCTGTTTGAGGGGTAAGCGCAGAGGTTCACCTGAGTGGGGCTGTGGGATAAATCACCCGGATGTTTTCAAATGCCAAGTTTTGACCTAAAACATCCAAAACCCAGCTGCGCAGGCCTGGCCCTGTGTCTCCTAAAAGAAACAGATGACATTATTCACAAACGTCTAAAAACTGATTCAAACAATTTACACTGACTGGCCACTTTATTAGGTACACTTTACTAGTACCAGGTTGCACCCCAGAACTGCCTTAATCTTTCATAGATTCAACAAGGCAGTGGAAAATTCCAGAGATTTTGCTCCACAATCACATGATAGCATCACGCTGTTGCTGCTGATTTGTCGGCTGCACATCCATGATGCCAACCTCCCACCACATCCCAAAGGTGCTTTATTGGATTGAGTTCTGGTGACTGTGCAGGCCATATGAGTGCAGTGAACTCATTGTCATGTTCCAGAAACCAGTCTGAGATGATGCGCGACTTATGACATGGTGTGTTATCCTGCTGGAAGTAGCCATCAGAAGATGAGTACACTGGATATTTTCTCTTTTTGGGAGCATTCTCTGTAAACCCTAGAGATGGTTGTGCGTGAAAATCCCAGTAGATCTGCAGTTTCTGAAATACTCAGACCAGCCAGTCTGGCACCAACAACCATGCCACGTTCAAAGTCACTTAAATCCCCTTTCTTTCCATTTCTGATGCTCAGTTTGAACTGCAGCACATTGTCTTGATCATGTCTACATGCCTGAATGCATTGAGTTTCTGCCATGTGATTGGCTGATTAGAAATTTGCATAAGGAGCAGTTGGACAGGTGTACCTAATAAAGTGGCCGGTGAGTGTATACTGTGAAAAGTCTAGGCATCACGGTGGCTCAATGATAAGCACTTTTGCCTCACAGCAAGAAGGTTGCTAGTTTGAGTCTCAGCTGGGCCAGTTGGCATTTCTGTGTGGAGTTTGCATGTTCTCCCTGTGTTGGTGTGAGTTTCTGCTTCGGTTTCCCCCACAGTCCAAACACATGCGCTATAGGGGAATTAAATAAACTAAAGTGAGTGTGTGTGTGCGTGTGTGAATGAGAGTGTATGGGTGTTTCCTAGTACTGCATTGTGGCTAGAACGGCATCCGCTGTGTAAAACATGTGTCGGAATAGTTGGCGGTCCATTCTGCGGTGGTGACATCTGAAATAGAGACTAAGCCGGAGGAAGATGAATGAATGAAAAAGTAAGTCTCTAAATTGTTTGCCAACTTTCACACTAGAGCTGAGAGATCACTATACCTCATCTCATATCCATCATACCTTTTGTGTAAATTAATTTACTGTTATTAATAGTTTATAGATACTGATGATATGGAAATGAGAAGTATATTACAAAGTGTGTACTCAATATTTTTATCTTATTTAATATGCGATTATTTTTCTCATCTCGTTTAGAACTTCAGAGCAAAGGGTTAATAAATTATTCAGTATTATTATTTCAGCATAATGATGAACTTCCAACTGAAACGGAATATGAGATATCATTTCAAGGAAAATATTTGGCGAATTTATTTAATCTGAGGTATTCAAAACTACAAGTTTGCTCAACTCTATAGCAAAGCATATTAAACTGCATATATTATATTTGCAACCCTTTGGTAATGATTGCTACAATATAGCATTAGTGAACAGATAACCTGTAAGAAATACTGTAATATACTTTAGCTTTTACTGCATTAGTTGTAAAAAACTAAAGTACTGGTTCATTTGTTTATATTACCATAGTTGTGTGACCACTAGAACTACCAGAACAGATCAATTCAAGTAATTAACTTCAATACAGTATGGTTAAAAACACTTTATTATGTATTATTAGTATTATTTATTAGTATTTTTTATGCGAGAACACAATTAACCACAATATATTTTAATGTATAAGAGTGCCTCAAGTGTATTAAATACTTTAGTTCTTACAATATTGTAGAAAACAGTAATGTTATTGGTTCATTTGTTTATATTACTATAATATTTAATATTGTTGTATCGCCAAAATGACTAAAATTACCAGAACAGATCGATTCATGTAAGCTACTTTACTATAGTATGGTTAAAACACTATACTATATTATATACTATACTATACTAAATTCGCAGTAACCACAATATGTTTTAGCGTTGAAGGGTGCCTCAATTGTATTAATGAATACACTAAAGTTAATCTAGTATTTTGCATTTATATTATGAACACTGTATTTATAATATATAATATAATATATTTGTTATAAGCACTTTTATAGCACTGATTTTAATAGTTTGCAGTGTTTGGTGTCATTTAAACGTAGACTTTTAACATTTCAGAGATAGTTTATACAATTCTTCAGCTCTGTCTGAAGTATTTCTTATGATTAATTTGGCTTTGAGCAAGTCAGTCGATGATTTAAAGCGCGAGAAGTGCATTATTTACACACGACAGTGGGTTTCACTTCTCCAGCGCGTCTCTGAAGCCCTTTTATTCAGTACCATATGAGCCACAACAGTCCGTTTAACGGTATTATTTTTCCTTTCTAAGGAGCGGGCACAATATACGTCCGCACAAGAGAGGCTTTAATAACTTTTAAAAGCACCTGAGCCGTGAAGAAAGATAACAGAAGCTGTGTGTTTCCCAGCCTGGCTCACAACACTCTTCTGGAGTTTAACCGCAGCCATGTTTATCATCACGTGTTGTCTCGCGAGATTCACACCACGCGTCACTGATCGCGGACAGTTTTCACAAGGACAAACCTATTATTTTTATTTCTACAATGAAACAAATGAAAATAAAAAAAATCAGAGATAGATATTAAATATTACTAGAAATGTTTTTCTTCCCCTGATAATGTGCATAATTACTGAATGTACAGATATAGTATGACGTTTTATTATTGTAATATATAATTTTTGTATATTTTTGTCTTTATTATCAATATTATTTATTATTATTTGCTGTTGTCTACAATGTTCCTGTTAAATTCTGCAATATTTACTGGAATCACTGTGTGAAAGGGGCAATTAATCTTTGTCTATTTTATTGATTTTTCTCTACTCATCTAAACCCATTCCTGCAAACACACACTTTTTTTATTTTGTTGTTATTTTTTTCTCCTGTTTGTTATTTTACATTTAAGATAATTTTCATTTTCCCCTGTCAGTTTGACTGTTAAAAATAAAACAGGACAAGTACTATTTAATTTATTTATTTCACTTTTTGCACATTTTAAGATGCTAACCCTGCTGAAAAATCCAGCTTAAACCAGCCTAGGCTGGTTGGCTGGTTTTAGCTGGTTGACCAGGCTGGTTTTAGTGGGGTTTTGGCCATTTCCAGTCTGGTTTCCAGCCATTTCCAGCCTGGTCTCAGCTGGTCAGGCTGGAAAATTACCAGCCAAATCCAGCTAAAACCAGCTTGACCAGCCTGGTTTAAGCTGGACATAGCTGGTTTTGGCTGGACTCCCAGCTTGGCTAGGCTGGTCAAGCTGGTTTTAGCTGGTCATCTCCCAGCCCGACCAGCTAAGACCAGGCTGGAAATGGTTGGAAACCAGCCTGGAAGTGGCCAAAACCCCTCTAAACCAGCCTGGTCGACCAGCTAAAACCAGCCAACCAGCCTAGGCTAGTTTAAGCTGGATTTTTCAGCAGGGAAACCATATTTTGTTTTCTGTAAAGACCCTAAATCCTACCTCAATACACATCTCATGTCTATTAATTCCATAAAATGTTCTGCAGTTCTGTTCGGCTGTTTGCTCACACAGATTTAGTGTATGTCTACAAGTTTCTTTAAACACACTCTGGCTTCTTATCTTTTATAAACTAAGTGCTGTTTGACTTTGATTCTGGTAAATTTCACTTGCTTTAAACGCTCAGACCACACATTCTGCATCCTAAATCTCACCTCCTTCCACCTTTCCTGTCTCTGTGTGGGAGGAGTGGACTGGATTTGTGTATTATTTAGTTACTGTCTTCAGTGCTGACAAATGACTGAGATTGACGCCCCCTGCTAAATCAATCCACCAATCACTAGGGTTGGATATCATTTGGGGTTATTTCGATACCGGTGCTAAATTGATACTTTTAAAATGGTACTGGTGCCAAAACGGTGCCGGAACCGATACTTTTGAGCCACAAAATGATTGTGGATGACTCTAAATCAAACTTTTATTTGACAAAATCTTTAAAAATATATATTTTGATAGAACAATATATTTAAAGTTTAACGTAAACATCAATTCATATTTTATATATTTGAATTGCATTAATATATTTTCCTTTGATCAGTTGTTGGTTAGCATGAATTTAAGATTTGCATTATAAAATTACTTTAGCTTACTACTAACCTGTGGGAAGGAGGCTGTCATCAAAATACTGAACTCCTTTTTTCTAGGGTTGGGGCTTGTGACTATGTTTATATGGTTATCGGTGATCTAGTGAAAAAAAAAAAAACTAATACTACTAATACTTCCCTTCTTAGACTTTACAGACCTGAAACTTGCCTAAAGCACTTATTCATTGTTGCTCATCAAGTCGCTTTGGATAAAAGTGTCTGCTAAATGACTAAATGTAAATGTAAATGTAGTGATTTGCCTTAATCTGAATAAGACAATAATTTGATTAAGGTGTTTACATGAGCTGCTTTTTGAATGTTCCTTTCATGATCCTGACTTACATGCTATAGTCAGCGGTGGATCTAGACCAGAGAAACGGGGGGTGGGGGGGGTATTTATGGTGAGACTATCTGTCATTTAGGGTGGGCTATTATTCATTTAGGGGGCAGCTATTAGTCATTTGCATTGGGACTATAAGTCATTTAGGGCAGGGCTGATAGCTGATAAATGACTGGAGGGTTCAGGCTGGTGGTGGTGTAATGGTGAGGGGGATATTTTCTTGGCACACTTAGGGCACATTAGTATCAACTGAGCATTGTGTCAACGCCACAGCCTACCTGAGTAGTGTTGCTGACCATGTCCATCCCTTTATGAGCACAGTGTTGATGGCTACTTCCAGCAGGATAACGCACCATTTCAAGTGAGAATCTTCTCAGACTGGTTTCTTGAACATGACATTAGCCCCTTTAACACATACAGACCTTTCCGGAAAATTGCCGGCAATTTTCCGGAAAGGTTGTATGTGTGAACAGGTCCTTTTTGAAAATACCGGTAAATTCGTTCTGGCTATTTTTCGGAAAGAGAAGTTGTAACATTACCGGCAATTTGCCGGAATGCTGCGCTGTGTGAACGCAGAAGGAAGATTGCCGTAATAAGCGCGTGCACGTCTAGAACGTGCTGACGTGAGACGTCTGCTTTAGCCAATCACAACAGTCAGACGCATTTACGTCCGCGCGGTTTGTGAGAATAAAAGCCTTTGAATATTTTTCCAGACACATTTAGCTGCTAGAAGTTAGTCAGATCACGTTTATATGTTCTTCCTAATGCCAACTGTGTAAATAATCATCGATGAGATGCTTATGATAAGCCGTTGTTTGTTTACCTTCAAGCTTTGCGTGTGCCTGTGAAACAGCCTGTGAGCGCCGCACACGCACATATTATGAACATCTCGACATGCGAAAATGATCCTGTGAAAGTTGTTCACAATATTGATCATCCACATAGTTTGTAATTTAGTCAAATGTTTACAAATACAAGCGCAGCCGTTTAAAGCTCATTTGTGGTGAATGATGTCAGAATTTACTGGTATTTTGGAATGGATGTGTGAATGCTCTTTTCCGGAAAATTTCCGTAACGTCCTCGCCTGTGTGAACAGCGCTTTTTTCAATATACCGGTAAAGTTGTTCCAGAAATTTTCCAGATATTTACCGGTATCACTGTGTGAAAGGGGCCAATGAGTTCACTGTACTTAAATGACCTCCACAGTCACCAGAGCACAATCCAATAGAGCACCTTTGGGATGTGGTGGAACGGGAGATTCACATTATGTGCAGCCGCCAAATCTACAGCAACTGCGTGATGCTATCATGCCGATATGGAGCAAAATCTCTGAGAAATATTTCCAGTACCTTGTTGAATCAACGCCACGAAGGATTAAGGCAGTTTTGAAGGCAAAGAGGGTCCAAACTGGTATTAGTAAGGTAAAGGCAACAAATGAGTATTTTGGGCTGAATTTTGTTCCTAAAAATCTTTAATTAAATCAGCGGTGGCCAAACCTTTTCTTACGAGCGGCCAAAAACTCGAATGAGGGTGGTTCTGCACATTCTGCAAAATGTGCTGGCAGCTCATTACAAGGTTTTTGTAGCGTAATATACTTGTGAAGTTTTTTTTTCCCTCTCCGCTGTCGCCACTGCCTCGCATGGTTCAGGATTGGTAGAGCTACGCATCGATGAATTTGCTCTTCAGTGTTTGAGCTCTCAGTAATGATTAAATCACACTGAACTGAGCTAAACTGAACTGAACTTAAACACTAAAACCTGAACCACACTGTTCCAGTTACTATGACCATTTATGTGAAGCTGCTTTGACACAATCTACATTGTAAAAGCGCTACACAAATAAAGCTGAATTGAATTGAATTGAATATACAACACCAAGACAAAACAGCACGTTAAACTATTTAAAAGCATATACTATTTCTAACTTTTTAAGGTTGAAAGTTATCGGAAGGAAAATCAAGGTCCCATAATGCAATTCAAAAGCATAAATAAATGTGTAAAAAATAAAACATGAACCACAAAATATTGTAAAGCTGCTATTTTACCGATATTTTTTATGATAAATAACATCTTGGACACTTAACAAAGCGTTTCACATGAACTATAGCTTGATACTTTCTTTCTGCTTTTATCGCATGGGAAACTTTAAAAGAGGAGGAACCGCGCTCTGATGCCTGTGATTTTTCATCTCGTTGTTTTTCTTTGCGTTTTCTTTTCATGTCGTTCTTTTTTTAAGCATGATCTCACTGGTTAGCACCACTTAGTGCTCATCAGTCAGTGCTGATGAAAGACTCGCCGTATTCACACTGAACACAGCAATGACTAAAACAACTGACCACTCTGAGTCAGCCCTTTTTTTCTTTTTTAGGTGATTTATATTTTCACTGCGTATAGAGATGATGGCCTCCAGATGAGATTTCAGGTCATATTCTGGTCATTCGCACATTAGGAGTCTCACTTCAAACGAACTAAGCATAATCGCAATGTATTACCAATTCAGGCAGGAATTCACCTGGAATTAATTGTACTGATGGGCTTCTTTGGTCCCACTTCTGCTCGAATTGACTACCCTTTCATTATGTTGGGGGCTCCTTTTGCTCCATTGTACGGTGTCCGAGAGAGTTTAACGCGCTGCAATTTAAGAAAGCACACTTACAAAAAACACCAGCAAATAAAAAAACGATCTTCATCAATTTGACAGCACACGTGCTGAAAATTGGTCACAACTGAAGAAACGCACAGCAAATTGGTCACAACACTTGCAAAAATCCACGTAAAGCAACAGAAATGTTTCTAGGGGACTCGAAACCATGACGGACCCTGCTAAGATATGGATGTGTTATTATCATAGATATGTGTTATTATAGGTTTATTATGTTGTGTAATCAGGATGTTAAAATAAATGAAAAACAACTCACCTTTCAGAGACCACCAATCACTTCACTGAGCAGCAGTCAGGGCGTAATAACATTTGAAGATTAAATGCTGAAGATTGTGGCTATTTACAGCAGTTTGACGGATAA